GTGTTGCTGGATTCACGGCTTAGCTGACTTGCAGCGGTATGACCGAAATGATCGAGATGTGGCATCATGGTAGCCGTGCTTTAAAGCTTGGAGAACTGAAAAATGTGCAAAAGACTGTTTGATTAAATCTTTGCTGTTTTATGAAGTAACTTAACCAGTGCTTTGACTTCAATAAGTAACTACACAGACAGCTTGAAGATGACGCGCGTCGCGCCTGTTTGGCTTTCCCGGTTAACCATGATGTCCCATCGACGTCAAGCGGTATCTGGCTGTCGTTCTGGGTATATGACCTACTTTTACACATTTGACCTCACATCTTAATATGAAGACCGCGTATGTAAGGCAGCTCCTTCGTGCTCAAGAGGTGTTCTTTCAGTCCTCGCCATTCCAGAGGGTCTTACGAGCCGCTTCGGAATGAAGTAAATATGCATACTGCCAAGGCTGAAATGGAAGTAACATTGGGTAGTATTGCATAAACGCATGGCATGGTTTTCACTGAACAGTGGTGAAAATGTCCTTTGCAAGATGAAATTTGGTTATTAGATAACATTAGTGTGCGGACCTCCTTTTTTATCCCGAGGGCTGCGTATCGTGGTTAAGGACACACCCCCCTCTGAGTCTTTAACATAACAGAACTGGCTGCACTCACTGCGTTGGTAACACATGTACCGAGGTCTGGTTAGTGAAATCCTTCCCAGATCCCAGAAAACCTTTGATCACATACCTCTGGAAATCCAAGCAACTAATCGACTAAATCTACGTCATCTAAGCCAACACACCAACATGATGGTGGCAGATGGTTGCGCAATGGCTAGATTTTCGTTTGTATTTCTCGCGATGTGTCCATTTTCCTTTTCGTTGACATAATGGCAAGGAAACGTCATGCACGGTGATCACGTGACCAGTGATCGTGGCCGTCAGGAGTTCAAGGATGAACTGAATGGAGGGAGTTTTGGCGCGCACAGCTGGCTAATTGCTTGGCTTCAAAATTTGTGTACCGGTTGAGCACCGACCTGTCAGCTCCGGATATCTTCTGCTAAAATCAGTGCGGCCCCTGCCCTAGTAGACAAAAAGCTCGCACAGAACAGGACTGCACCTTGAAGCAGTCTGTCATCGTCCGTGGGGGACATGTGTCATTTTTGACGTCTCACGATCCCTTCCAATGCGTGCCACACCCACACCCACACCCACCCACCCACACCCACACACACACACACACACACACACACACACACACACACACACACACACACACACACACACACACACACACACACACACACACACACACACACACACACACACACACACACACACACACACACACACACACACACACACACACACACCACACACACACACACACACACACACACACACACACACACACACACACGTACCGCAACTGTGGAAGGTTGAAGGCAATGCTTCAGAGTGATGCAAGACTGTGAATTTATTATTTTTGTGCGCTATGGCATTTAAGTCAATGCCATCAGGCAGGGGATGTCATACACTGTCCAACGTTTCATAGATACTTTGACAAGACCTAACACGTTTTGCGTAGCCAGACTCTCGTGAGAATGAGCTAAATGCTAATAATTTAAGAGCAGAGATAGGCAATACGGCCAGAGAAAGAAAGGTAGAGAGAGAGAGAGAGAGAGAGAGGGAGGAGAGAGAGAAAGGGGAGAGAGAGAGGGAGAGAGAGAGAGAGAGGGAGAGAGAGAGAGAGAGGGAGGAAGAGAGAGACCCTATACAATTATAGGGTCTCTCTCAATACCCTAGATAATAAAATGGCGCCTGGAAGCTGGAGGGAGACACATTAGGTCTGCGACAGGGTAGCTGACGTCCAAAATATATCCCAGTACCAGGTCTACGACAGTCTAAACAAAAACGAAAAATCCCAAAGCCTTCTGGGGTACCCCAACTATTCAAAAGGACTCTGTGCTCTGAAAATATATTGCCAAGCCTTTGAAAGCGCCATTGGGAATACAAGTCCATCAAACTAAAGAGGAATACCCTGAGGAATAGGTGATGTTCCAGCGGTCTAAAAGTGCGCTTTGAAACCAGGAAGGACGCCCTAGAAGTTCTTGGCGCCCCGAAATATGGAAGGCCATCGCCAGTGGCCCGTGGGGCGACTCTGACGCACGAAAGCGTGTCCAATGAGTGAAAAGAACACCAAAGAGCAGAAGAGCCTTCAAATTTCCTGATGGTCGCTGTTTCGGGTTGCAACAGCGTCTTGAGGTATAGCATTAAATCTTGATAGCCAAAAAGCCTTAAAGAGCAAATGGACATCCGAAGCTGTCAAGGGGCGGTCCTAAGGGATGAAAGGACGCCCCTGAAGCATAAGATTAGCAACTAGGCTTAAATCAACAAAAACTGAACGGAGGAGACCTCCTGAAACCTGAAAATGACCAGCTGGATTATAAATGGTGACACAAGTCATGAGAGATGCTTTGAATTACTAAAAGGAGGCCTTTTAAACTTAAAAACGTCACGAGTGCGATTAGCATGTCGTGAAGAGGTATGGACACTATGTACAATGACCTATGGTGACCTCAGGTGGATTTCATATCATCGATGGGGGCCCATATACTAGAAAAATTTCCACAGCTTCCTTCAGGACATTCAAAGTTTCAAGACAGTCAGGACACCAGATGCACAACCAAGATATTGGAGTTGCAAGATAAGGCGCTAAACGCGAAATAACGGAACCAGTAGCGCTTTGCATGGTCAAGGAAACGCAATGTTTGGAAGGCTTAAATCCCCTTTTGTGTGCTGCACTTTAACAACCATCTCAAGTCGCGCTCATACAACGATTACCTCCCGCGTGCCACAATCAGTCGCGTATTTCGCTGAACGGGATGTAGACATCTTGCCGCGCCATATTTGTGCCACGTGCTCGGGGGAGTCAAAATGGCACATAGAGGCGAACGTTTGCCCGCAATGCCAGCGCCATGGACTGAAAGCGGTTTCATTCATACCATACAATAATGTCACTTGCACGAGTAAGCTGTCCAAATGTGCGTTTCTTGACATCAGTGCCCATAACTGATCAAAGGCAACCGAGCAGAAACTCGTATGATATAAACGATGGGGATATTCTGTCAAAGCTGAATAACGCTCAATATGAATGACTATTTTCTATCCTGTACATGTAATCTAACTGTCGATCTCAGCACCAACCTAAAAACATTGAAAGTGTTTAATTTTCCAAAGTCACGACAGTCTCGTAGGACTGATCACGCTCGTCCACATTGTGGTGATGATATGGGTTTAAGGGCCCCATTTGCCCCATATCGTCACTTGCCCCCTTACGTCACTCAAATGAGCCTGAGTTTGCAGTGCGGACGAAGCAATTTCTCTGGTGCAGTTTCATGAGCCAAGGGAGTGCAAATTTTGGTCTTGTCAGCGATTTGATAAAGAGGAGCAAGCAAGGCTGGAGTGTTTTTGGTGTAGGGCTGGAGCCCACTTAAGTAATTTTGTCGCTTTCTGGAATGGGTGTCCACCCGATCGAAATTCCTGGATCAGCCCCGGTTTCGATGCGTCATCGGTAACCTCAAAGGGAGGGGATGGAGAGATACTACCATGCCTGACCCTCCCTTCGTCACTCCGTCGAATCAGCTGCACTAATCAGCCCTCGGCCAGTGAGATACGCAGACACCGATCCAGCCCTCTGATCAAACTCCGCGTTCACACCGCGGCGCTGGCACACTGGGCTATTCGGCTCCGGGCAGGAGACGACGGCGCTATCAGGAGCTGTCTCCGGCCGCTTTGTAGGAGCAAGCGGTGCACAGGCAGCCGCAGGTCAGCCCTGCTCCTGCCTAAGTGCTCGCAGATGGACGTGATTCATTTGGTAGCCTGTGGCTGCAAGCAGTCTGGGACTGACGACCAGCGGATTTTCACGCCGTCAGGATAACCATGAATTTTGTGTGTTTGTGGGAGCGTCGCTTCATGCACCTTTCAGAAGCTCCGGCCACGTACAGCTCTATGTTTTACTTTGGGTTTATCACGATATCTGAAAAGAATGACGAGAAAAATCCCAAATCTGTTGGTGCCACAGCAATCTTTGGAAAGCGACACTCCTGCACGGATGAGAGGAGTGGATGAGTGCAACACTGTGCGACCGTCAGATGCCGGCAGACCACATCGCGGGCACCACACCAGTGCACTGCAGCTTGCAGCAGCGTTAACTGTCGCGAGCTGTCGCTGGGCGTGGGACCGTTGTCCCCCTAGCATGCCCGTAAGGCACCGCCAGTAGCATGAGAATGCTCGTAAATCCGCTTACGGTTCATCACTCCCAAGCAGTGACGACATTCGAAGTCAGCGCCACATGTGGGGCTGCAGAGCCATATCTGCTGGCAGACCTCCGTGCTTCATAAACATTGCCGCTGGCGCCGCACCCCCACTTTGCAAACCAACGCGGGCGTCCGGCCCAACCGCCGGCGGCGCAGCAGCGCGCGCAGCCGGCTCCCCGCGGGCTTCGGGTACTCCAGCGGAGGCGGAAGGCGAGCAAAAACGGCGCATCGCCGGGCCCACATGTCGACAGGCCAGCGGAGATTGGCGGGAGCACGTGCCGGCGGCTGTGATGGACGGGAGCGTTGGCCCCAGCCGGCGGCGGCGGTGCAGCGGGCCGCGCGGCCGGCGCGCCTGGCTCCGGCCCTGCGGCCGCCAACGCCCTGCAGGCGGGCAGGGCGGTGCCAGGGCGCGCAGAACCCGGGCCAGGGCCGGCCAGTCGTGCGTCGGCGCCGTCGCGGCGGCGGTGAAGCGGGCAGGCGGGCCGACAGGCGCGGCTCAGGTGGGTGCGCGCCACGGCCGGCGGAAATGCGCGTGCTCGCCGCTCTAAGGCTCTTTGTCTGGCTAAGTTTAGCCCGCGGTGTTAATTAGGAGCCGGGAGGCGCGCGCCGTCGTCGGCGTCGGCGACAAATGTTTGTCCAGACGCGTCGGGCCGCGAGACGTGGGCCCGGGCGGTGGCGGCCGGCGCCCGGGCCGTAGCAGCGACGGGCCAGCGGCAGGTCCGTGACGAGAGCGCCCGTCTTACAGCCCAGCTGCTGCGCCGACGGCGACGCAGCGACGCAACGACAACGACGGACGGCCGATCGACCTCCGACCGACGATGAGCAGCGCGACGTGTGAGCCGCCGGTGACCCGGCGACCTCTGAAGGCCCGCGGGCCCGACAAGGGCTCCGCAGAGGCCTCCGCTCTGGAGCGCGAACGATGGATGCGACGCATCCAGAAAGTGAAAGAGAGGTGAGAGGCGCATGCTTCAGCTTGCAGTCGCACAACGTGTACCGTGGTATTACTGCCGGATGAAATGATGGCGGAGGTTGAATGCATAACTGAAGATTGCTATCGAGACAATATTATTATCATATCTTCACAGCAATGCGCACGCCGTTTTCCCGTATTGCATTTGTCCGAGCTTTGTGAATGACATCGGCGAGTGGCATCGGTGAAACTAAGAGACAAAAAGACGTCCGATGTGAAACAAAAAGACGAAATACAGCGCGTGTGTCCCGAGAAGTATGCAATGTCTTACGAGTGGTTTTTGCATTCCTCTTTCACCAAAACGCCGCTCGGTGGCTTCGATCTGTGGCGTCCTGGTGATGAGGCTTGTTCGAGGTTAAAACAAATGCATTCAGACATGCACAAAATGAGGAGCAATTTTGAATCGCGTACTTAACGGTATCTGTAATATTGTTGTGACTTATATTAGCTTTCGCTGGACGCATGAATAAAGTACGCGCCAGGTGCGCCACGGCGATCCGGCAACGTTTGATTTAGTCAGCAGGACTTCCTATTTTGTTGCGGTCTTAACATTCAGGACGATCGGAAACCACATCATTTTACTATAAGGACATAGCCTTTTATGTGTGCTTCGCCGCAAAACTTTTCGGGGTGTCTCGAGAACTGTAGATTACCCGCTGACAGAAGCCTCCTACACTACCAGCTTCCTGGACCTAGCTGGCAGTTACTGTGCGGCAGCCCGCCTCTGCCGTTTACAAAACCCGTTGGTGACTGGAACTCTAGATGTTGGCTAATTTTTTCAACTACGTCATTTTCTGCTGGCAACGTGTTTCCCAACCCGTGATACACCGCAGTTACCTGACACTGACCCGTGTTCAGGAACCAAGCCGAGCACTACCTGACACTAACTCGTGTTCAGGAACCAAGCCGAGCACTACATGACACTAACCCGTGTTCAAGAACCAAGCCGAGCACTACCTGACACTAACCCGTGTTTAGGAACCAAGCCGAGCACGAGAGAGCGCTGCGAGAGCAGAGGGATCAGCTAGCTCGAGCACATGATGCGCAGCTGCGGCGCATGCGCCGTGACCATGACGACGAGCTGCGCCGAGTCCGCCTTGAGGCCAGGTGAGGCTTAGCATCACTGATGCCGGGTCCTGCTCGAGGCCCACTGAGGTCAGGTGAGGTCGAGGTGTGGAGTGGTGTCCGCGTATGCCGGGTCTGGCTCGAGACCTGCCGAGGTCAGTTGAGGTCGAGATCTGGAGTGGTGTCCGCCTCGGACGGGTCCGGCTCGAGACCTACCAAGATCAGGTAAGGTCGAGGGCTGGATGCCAAGGTCAGCCGAGGTCACCTGAGGTCGGGGTTTGCAGTGGTGACCACCATCGCCGAGTCTGAGCGAGACAGATCATGCACGCCAGGGCGAGAGTGATCGGTAGCGACAGTCATGTATGCTGCATACATATCAGCGCATATCGTTACATTTATACTTATTCTAAGTTTCTATCGCAGCTATCTGTGGACAGGTATCAGCGAAGGGCCGCCTCTGGGTCATTAGTGTCATGTCGGCAGTACAGACGCTGCCTTACGGCACACGTCACTCGGCACGTGGCGGGCGGCTCTCGAGTTGTGTGTTCGGTCACCATTCCCTGGTTCATCTACTTATGGAACAATGACAGAATATGCTTGTGTTAGAATTCCTTTGTGTACTTGTTTTTCTCGTGCTTATTGAATGCGAAACTCCTCAGCTGTGTTCGGTTCAGTAACGACATTGCAGTAATCATCTTAATGAGCAATAACCTACCAAGCCTTGGAGGTTGCGGCAAGGCAACGAGAAATACCTTCCATCCCGACAATTGAGCTATTGCGGTTCGTCTCACATGCCATTCCTGGGCGCAGCCAGAAGACCGATCAACAGCAGCTTTCAAGGATTGCGCCTCACAAGTGTTTTATTTCGTATCTCCTTGAAAGAGTGTTACATTTCGCCTGTACAAAGCAGCGTCCAGCCCCGACAATTCCGAACAACTTCATCATTGCCCCTGTTACGTTTTGCCTTCGACAGCAACGACATCGGCTAAAAAACCGTCACAACTCTAGCGGGATGACATCAGCGCGAAGGAAATTCTTAACGGAAATTCATGTCAGTACTGATTCTCTCTCTGATTCAATTTTGATCGGAATGAGAAAAGCGTGACAAGACTTCTTTCGTCTTTGTTTAAAGAACAATTTTGGGTAAGCAAAATGTCTGAAAACCCTTGCATATATGCCTAATTACTGCCTCGCTTATAACTTAGCTATAACGTGAGCTTCGACATGTTTTACACGTGATGAGATCGACGTTGCTTAGCGACGTAAGTCCGACGCAAGTCTACGACGACGTAATCTGTGCATCGACATAAGTCCCACGGAATGCATATAATGGACTGATACAACGCGTGATATACGTTTCCAAGATGAGTGCTCATCTGCATCGCCCCATGGCCTCGCACCCTCAGTTACTCTCTGCTTGGCACTGCTGCCAAATGGCGTTGATAGGCTGTTGATTGGAACTTCCTAGGCCCAACAATACCTCAGTAACGTACACGTTGTAGAACTTCACAAAGTTTATTTACCATGTAATTCCGCCGCATCAAAGTCAGCTTCAGATCGCGTCGTTTCATCACAAGGGCGGTAGTTTGGCATTTGGCCAGCGTTTTTTCATGAGTGCACGCAGCCTAGTGTTGACGTGCCAACGCTGCGGGAGATATGCCTACGATCTGCCAAACGTGCCCAGAATATATGAGAAAAACGTGCCGTCTCAAGTGTCTTCTAGTGCCGTCTCTAGTGTCTAGTGTCTTCTAGTGTCTTCGCAGCCAACGGGCGATCGGGAGACAGCGGGCTGGGGTGGCGTGCCAGTCTTCCGGGATGGAGCGCACTGAGTAAGGTGTTGGGGTTGGGAACAACGATGCGACAGCAGAGGCATCCTCGGTGCGTTGTTTGGAACAGGTAACAACGGTGCGAAACGGTTACGTCGCCCCCCGTCTAGGTTCTAGGCACGCCACCTGCGGGTAGTACTGAGGGGCTGATAAGAAGGCATGATTGACGGGGGACAGACGAATGAGAGCAAACAAATCCGTATTTTGTGATATGGAGCTTCGCTGCAGCCGGCGACTTGTTGGATTACTTTTGCATCCCGTGTCTGTGATGGCAGCCTGCATAGATCGATGCAATGCATCTGGTCCACAGGCTGCACCGCTAGCCTATCTCCAAACGGAAGGCCGTAGGGCCCATGTATCGTCACGGGTCTACTAAAGTTTCACGTTCTGGCATAAACCACCTTCCAATCTATTTGCGATCACCGAGAAAACTGACGCAGATCTATTTGTTAAACGGGGTGTAATAGGTGTGAAATCGGACGTAGTTTGTGGCAACGTATCTCCTCATGGCGAATATTTTCGGCTGTACGCCTCCCGAATGAGCACAACCACAATCTGTTTGGAATCACAGATGCTCGACGCGATTATGAGTCCCTTTTGTTATCATACGCCTCCTGATACTAGATTTCGGGATCTCCAAGCAAATACCGGAGCCCTTTCGCGGCCATGGAACCCGCACACCAGGGCACAGCGCCCGAATGACCAAGTGCTCGAAGGTCGAAACACCCAACGATTGTGTGCTAAAAACTAGGCAATGTAGAACACGCGGCGCGATGATTGAGTCCACGTATGACCATTGGGACACCTGCGGTTTTTATCCACCCTTAAGTCCCGAGGGCTTCCTTGGCTCACTCCGATTCCATTTCATTGCCACTTGACTCAGGAGTGGTCCTGAATCAAGGGATAATTCTGCCACGGAGAGGGTCGAAGGGGAAGCGATGCTCTATGAATCACTCAAACCACAGGCGACTGCTGTCGACTGAGCTGGCACTCTGCCCACCAATATCATCAGAAGCCTCTGCTTCATACTTTACCCAGTTCCCCTCCCACTTCCCGCCGGGGCGGAAGAGACGCGAGTGCTGGGACATTGCGGAGGCAGCTACGAGTAGGCCGTCACTGAGGCGGCTGGGGTAACGCTGATGATCACAGAAAACTTCAATGACCCGACGCCAGGCGACTAGAATAAGAAGCAGTTCATTATTCATGAGGTGTCTTTCTAACATCGCCGGCCGGATGCGAGGGAAAGGAACATAGTCTATTCTAGTTCTTTGCGCGTGAAACCATATGTTCTTATATGCAACGTCATTCATTTGAATGCATGCAGTAGTCCTGTGGGCGAAAAAGATGGCTTCCTCAACGGATTTGGTCATTTCAGTCTTCCGACACGGCTGGTCGATATGCATGCTGGCCCCCGAGCAGCCCGTGAACTATTTTGTCACCTCAAACTTTGGCAATCCCATTTGTTTATGGCTTGGAACAGACTCAGCGACGAACAATGCAATTTCAAAACTGCATTCGATAGACGATACTAGCCAGCAATAGCAGCAGAAGCCTCTAAAAGTCTCCTTAGCTCAGCGAACTCGTGCCGTCCACAATCGTGGCGCAACTACCCGTTCGGGCGCCGATCTTGGTAACGTGATGATATGCTGAAACTTTTAGCTAGTCGCACAATTCGCCCAGGAACAGGCGAGGCGTATACCACTGGAGGCTCTTTGAACAGCTAATCGGGCAGAACGCCGCGCATTCCTGGTTACAACACGGCAGACCCGGCCTCCCGCGCGGGGTCACCGCCAGCCCCTCGCCGCTCGAGCCAGACAGACCTTACGACAGCAGGCGGCGAATCGCTACTCGTGGGGGCCGGCTCCGCGTGCCGCTGGCCGCGATGTTTGGTGTTTGGGTCAGGAGCGAGGGGAGCAACATGGGTGGGGGTGGGGAGGGGGGGACTGGCAGTTGGCTGCACCCGCCCGCGCGCTTCAGTTTCAAACGGTGTCCGTCAGTGATGGCGGCCGGGTGGTCGGCGCAGCCGGGGGCCGGCCGCCGGTCGGGTCAAGTTACGACAGCGGCCGTGCTCCGCAGTGGAGTGCGCCGCGCTCCACGCGCCTCGCAACGGTCCGCCAACGGGCCGCAGCCGAGTCGGTTTCCAAACAGCTCTTATTGCTGAGTCTGAAAACATGCACACCTGGAAATGCAAAATTCGCTCAATGAAGATATGAATTTTACCCCACCCTTTTTAAATTCGTTTTCTTCTCTGCCTCTCATGCGCACAGTTGTAAGTACGCAAGTACCATGTCGTGCCGTGGTCATTACTGAGCATCCCGCCCTGAAAGCGTGAGCGCCGTCACTCATCTTGGACGCTCGCGCTCAGATTCCAATCCCAGCCAATCCAATCCCGTTTAAGCCGAATGGGCGTTCCGATCTGGGCGCACGACTCTGGATGCCGGTAGCCCACTGGTCCCCGTGGGTACTGCAGTGTAGTTTTTGATGTGAAGTCGAATTCACCCCGCCGCGACCTTCGTCTAGGCGTGGGCCGAGCACGCCAAACATGCCGGCATTCGCCGCAAATATTTATGTTCAGAAACCCTCCCAGTTCAGATGTTTGGTAACCTTTGCTATGACCTCGTCTCCCTGGATCAAGCACCGGAGACCGGTTTTGGGGTAGACCCGATACGTGGCGTCAGAGTGGCATACCGATAGTAGCATACAGAAGCATACCCGTGTTGTGAAGTGACGGCTTGATTTGGTTTGACTCGGTATATCGTAATGCGGGTCCATACCGATCGCCTACCGACGATTGTTCCCATGCCGATCGCCGTATTGCTCACGCTGCAAAATAACACGAATGCATTTCGCCACACATAGCAATGATTTCAGCGAGCAGTCATGGGGAATATGTGCTGTTTCGCTATGAACTTACGCATTCCTATGCACGGGGCATTGCATTCTCAATTGGAAGGTACCACGAAGGATGTAAATGGCTATACAACGATCAGAATAACTACTGGCAGGGTAGCTTCCATCAGAAAAGTTTATCTTGAGAAAGGCGAAAACTACTGGACAGATGCTTGCACCTTTCGTAAGCTTTTGACCGTTGCCGCTTCAATAAGCAGTTGTCATGCTCACGTGCTGATTTTTACTGGTGCACCATTGTTCGCGTTTCACCAAGTCGTGCTCGTGGCCACTTACAGAACGCACGAGGACCAGCTGCGGGTGCAGCTGTCGGAGGTTCAGAAGCTGACCTCCCACTCTGACCTCGGCCGACTGACCTCGGAGGTCACTCAGCTGCGAGAGGAGAAGCGACAGCTGGAGCAGCAGCTGCAGGTCGGTGTCCCACTGGTCCCCGTCTGGCTGGGATTCGCCAATGTTTCTATCGGAGATAATTCCCTTTTCCATAACAACTGAGCAGAGTAAACGACAATCGTTTTTGAATGACCGTAGGTTCAAAGCGACATCATTCACTGTGAGAATCGTGAGGCTGGTGAAAAGTAATCCTGTTCTGCAAGCCTTTCTGTCGCTGTACCTACGTACGCCAGTACGCCACTGTACCTGCGCCGGAGCACAATGAACAAACTTCCCAAATGGAAAGAAGATGAGAGTACTACATGCACGAAAAGGAACGCGAGGAAACGAGCTTCAACAAAACATTTCACTATCATTAGTTTTATTCACCACTTGTGATCGCTCGGGCTTGGAAACATAGTAACGAACGGGCTCCTGATTGATACATTCGCACCCATATCCGTTACCTCCCCCACGCTATTCCTATACAGTCCTGTGTGCGTCCTTACTCTACCCCTGTGCCATTGTAGGCTAGGCACTTCCTTTTTATACGTACTCACGTGGACCATGACGGGTGCGGGATTAATCAATGGCTGGGTGCATGCATCAGAAAATGCAAAAACAGTGCAATTCAACAAAAAGGAAGCTGACTGGCGTGGTTTGTTTGCCCTTGGTATACTGCTACTGTGGCGTTGATCAACCATATGAATATGCGCAAAAAAGACTGCCGAAAGTTGTCGTGTAATTAGGTTTGGTTCATGTCGGAGGGGTTTTATTTGACGATCCTTACACTGAACAGCGACTGCCTGATTCACTAGCGCTAAGACTTATTGTCACGTTATGTTCGTCTCTGTAACATGTGTCTGAAATCAATATAAGGCAAATATGCATCTTAATAACATCTAAATATATCTTCTACACTATACACTACACTTCTATACTATACGTACCTTCATAACATCTTAATTCTTGGCCTGGGGCCTGATTCTCGTTAGAACGGTAACAACCAGTAGGTTACTTCCCTCCCCCCCCCCTCCCCCTCGGGGTTGCAGCCGACCACCCTCAGCTGTACGAAGCCTTGTGCCCGTGCCGTTGCTGCGGCCGGCACAGCCGGCACTGGTTGGCTCGTCCGGTTGTTACGCTCCGGCCTTCTATTGCCGGCCGGCCTGTTCTGGCCAGCACACTCCCGTCGTGCGGCGTTACCTGAGCTGCTCGCTCATGCCATTGCTCCACGAGCGCCGGCCTTGGTGGCGGCTGCAGGAATCGGCGCGCGCTGCGCCGGCCGTCCGGCCCGGTCTCGTTGCCAAACCATCCGGCGTTTCCGGGGCGCGCGCCGGTCTGCCGAGCCACTTTCGTCTCGGTCGCAGGCCATCCCCAAGGCCGGCCCCGGTCCAGCACGGGTCAGCTTCAAGTCACCAGTCCACAGGGAAGACAGGGCTTGGCCGGGTCGGGGCAACACGAGGCGTTTAGTATCGATGATGCGAAAAAATAGAAGCCGGTGCGGACGCAGTGAGCTGGCGTTATCGATGGAGGTAATCCGCGTGACGCCACTGCAGAGTGTGGCGGCAACCACTTCGATAATCTGGACGATGTGTAAAGATTCCAGTTACAGGATTATGGATCATTCTTGGATAAGGTTCCGAAGCCACACAGGGGCGGCCTGCAATGACAGAGGTCGGTGTAGTGAAGCAGTGCGTGAAGATGAAGTGATCTTGCTGATCTGGAATCACGGTTTTGTGCACCGCTTGGGTAATTGAATCCGGCTGAAATGTGAAAGTACCATTTTATAGCCTATTTCGTTTGTTCATCTGCAACTGACGATGCAGATGGTGTGATTATTGTCAAGCCGCGACTCACGTTCCCGTACGACATCTAGATGTTTCAAATATGTAACTGTGTACATATAACCAAGTGACCAATGTGTATACACAAGATCTGATTAAAACTAAACATGGCCACCATTCAAAAACGCATTTGAACACTGGATTCTGTTAACATTGATCAGGAATAGGTGCTTGATGCCAGAAATAAGACCGTTCCCTCCGGAACAACGCAGTTATAAAAACGCTCTCTGAGATTAGCGTAACTGGGACCTAAGGATCGCACCGGCCCGCGTTGTTTGCTTGAGTTCCGCATTACATATCGACAGATACAGCAGGCCTGGACGTACCACTTGACATGCTCCTGAGTTCCCGGGTGCAAACCTCTTGAGTGTGGTGCTGCATTCACGTTTCATTGTGGGGCCAGAATACGTGGTACTGCGATTAAATGATGTGCTCAGTTGTGTGATTTAGGCTATCCGTTATACTGCACGATAATAATATAATCCCATGAGATGTCATCCGAGTCCGATATCGCGTGATTCGTGTGATTCGTCTATGGCGTAATTTCACACAAAGTTAGAAGGGTGCAAACATGATTGTTTTGTCAATCTTGGTGAGGATCTCTGCGCGACCGCATGCACATATGATTAAGAGCTGAACAATACTCGCATCACTAACAGCTTTGTCGTCAACAGTCCGTCGTTGAGAGCGATCGCAGAAAGGCCGACCTGGTTCGACAGACTCACGACAAATACGAAAACGAACTACGAAAAAACGAAAAACAAACCAAGACCGAGACACGCTTACTGGTGAGTACAGGAAACGTGAGGCCACGGTACCAGTCGGCTAGAGCACTTCCCTCGTCATGTACGTGCTGCAGGCCTTTTTCTCGGCATAATCCTGGAGTCTGTAATGCATCCTTGGCACGACTGGATGCTTCCCAAGGACGAGCTGCGCTCCACCGGGATGTGTGTCGCCCACCTTGTGTCCACATAATGCCGTAATCTGGGCTCGTGATTGACTGATGATCTCTGGCTGCGGCGTCGCCCGTTCATTCCGCTCACCTGACGTGGGAACGGAACACGCCAAGACCCGCTGGCGCTATCTAGTGCAGAGCAGCGACGGTACGCACAGCGTAAGCCGACCGTGCAAAGCCCGGGCAGATGGCACTCCTGCACGCTGCAAGAATGTGAAAGGAACTTCAGTAATCCATCGAAAGGCCACTGAGCCTGGTCTCCAAGGCGCTGGAAGACATCTTCAGCGATTTCCCCCGAGCAATTTAGAGGAATTGTTTCAGCGCCGTGATACAAAATCATCGAGTTTTCCTCGAGACTTGCCATAGTCGCAAAGCGATGTTTTGATCCTTTTATGGTACAGGCGCTTGTGACAAGCTGTTGCAGACAATCGAGGGCCGGCTTTGGTGACGTTTCAAGTCGGCTGTGTGTGTGCGGGGCTTAGCTGTCACCAGCTTCGATGGCTTCCCGAACTGTGTTCCAGTGCACTGCGACCTGCCTACCATTTGCACACCCGACGTGCCAGGAAACAATAGGAACACTGGGTGTTAGCGCCGCATGGGCTTAAGAAAAAGGACACTATAATGTTAGGTCTTATTTTATAGATAGATAGCATCTCTATAGATAAGCTTCATCTACCAGTCACATATCATGGCAGTCACATGTGAGGAACATGAACTCCCGTCCCGTTGGTAGCGCCTTCCTTGTCAGTAGGCTCAACTGAGGTCAAAATACAATCTAATCGCACTTGGACAGATCGGAAGAGGGTTGGAACGGATATGCATGCATGAAGATTTACGAGGATGGAATCACCGCATATCAGGCGAGGGTATGTAAACCTTCCCCTCGCAGGCCCTGTCTGTCACGTCGTTGGAAAACAAATGCGACCAATGTGACGTTGCTTTTGAACTCACAAGTTACCACGGCGGGGCATATTTCTCTACGCTTTTAGGTTGTTTCCTTTTGCTGCCTGCAGGCATATTAACATGAACAACGAAATAAGCTCGCGGCGTTATGACCATACTATTGCAAGGTTTGATGTAGTCGAGGAAGGCACGCCGGCTGGAATGTCGACGTAGATTAATGAGCAGCACTGGTATGTCCAGATGCGAATAGCTTGCAGGATTACTGAGGATTCTGTTCATTCAGAGTTGTAGCGTGTAAACGATGCACAATCCCTGTTTATCATTGTGACTGTTGCAAGCCTGCTTAATTTTGCGAGTCCCTGAATGCTGATGTCCGATTAATCATCCGTTGTTGACGAACGAGCTCTTGAAGATTTGGTATCAACCTTTTTGGCTGGATGAATTTCTGGGATCAATACCCATAATGAGCCGTGCTTGTTGAGTGAGCCGTGCCTCCACTACGTGGTCGTAAAATTCCGGTTGAAAACAGACTTTGGCAGCGAAAACTTGAAACCAAGCAATGCTCGGTGTGATCCGTTCTCCCCCCTGACATCACCTGACCTCCAGTGCGGCCTGCAGGCCACCGGCGGCCACAAACAATTTCAGTCAGGGGAAAGTAGTGAGCATCTCAAGAGACTCGAACCCGCTCCGCCACGGGTGGGTTGATCGGAAGGCAGGTGCTCGAACCAACTGACTTATCGGGCGAAGAACTTTGACTCGTGCCTTGACTTGCCATGATGGATAATGGCGTGTTTTTGTGGCTGGGACTTTATCAATCGTTTAATTTCGGACTTGGACTATCAGAAGGTTTTCAGCCTGTCCTTGTCGATCGAAATCAACTGAAGCTTCAGCTATTTCTATAAATTTTCTGTTTGCAGGGTATTTCTTAAGAACAAAACGCACCACTTTCTGCTTCCAGGGGGTTCCGATGGCCCGAGGGCATGCTAAGGTCGCTTGTGCGCTCATACAATTATGGTAAAAACCTTGGGAGGCCTAATTACTGTGCCCAATAAAAGCCTTCTAACATGCATTCGATCATTTTACCAGACATGCCCTCACGTTTACACCTACCAGCCATTGTAGTTTACGGCAGGACGATATAGACCAATCATGGCGTTGGCGATATGCATTATTTGTTTCGTTTGATTATTGCACAGCTCACAGCTAATATTCTTAAGCTCACCGGATTGCCAATGCTTTTCGACGTTGTCGCTGCTTGGCAAAACAAGGCTGGACAAGACTGTCTCGTTTAAAAGATCTTGAAATATTTGGGGTGTGTTGAAATAGGTGGTTTCGTTAGCTTGCCTGCCCAATTCCGTTAGCTTGCATTTAAGCGATCTTGAAATATTTTGGGCGCGATGATTTTCCTGAAACGGCGTTAACTTTACTATGACCATTCGGAAACATTACGTGCTGGGACTTTATCAATCGTTTAATTTCGGACTTGGACTACCAGAAGGTTTTCAGCCTGTCCCTGTCGATCAAAATCAACTGGCCCTGTTGTAAAACAAGTCCATCATCTCGTTTCACAAACAATGATTGAAATATCATTTTATCATTCATTATTCATTACTCATCACGTTTGATTATTCATTTATTGATGCATGGCACTGACTATGGGGAGGGGGGGGGGGGGGTAGGAAACGTCATGCATGTGCATCGCAGTCGATGGCTACATCATATACGTCTGTTGGCGAATAAACCCTATTGCCGAATAACTCTGCTCTGTTTTCCTTCCAAGGCGTGATGTGCACTCAGCAAGATCTGTAAACAAAATAAAGACTAAACAATCCGCAAAAGCGTCAAATTTCTCCATTCAATCTCATTGGTCGGACGAAACGCGCATCGATTACCCTCTATGGAGGTCACCATGGAAAACGAAACTACACAGCATGTTCCAGTGATTACAAGCGTTCCACTTAATATTCGGTGACAGTTTTTGTTCTATGTTCACTGAACGCCCATGCATATAATACTCCATCAAATGGCGCGAAACCGGCGACGAACGTACCCTTTTCTACTCATGGATGTTATATATTCCGCATCACCTTACGAATTGCGTGTTCGTTTCCTTCACCTTGAAGTATTCTAACATCTGCCCGACAATTGCTTGCCGAAAATAGTTTCGTTGCCGAAATTTCGCCCAGGAGAAGGGCAAGCTGGGTTACAGTGTCAAAGGAGTCTCTTTTCGTCGCTGTAGGAGCGCTGACTTTTTCATTCTGACAACTTTTTATGATCGATCGTGTTTTGATGTCTTGGTGAGCCGTTTTTATTAGTGTTTTAGAACCCCTTGGAACATTTCAAGCTGCCGAGAAGACCTGGGACCTTTGGTCCCATGGGTACCCTGCACCTCCAGAGGGTTGGGGCACGGCCCAAAAGCCCCCAGTTGCTTACGCCGCTGAGTCAGATAAGTATGTCCAGATGTCTAAATGTCTAAGCATGCCCCAAAAACTGTTTATTCGGCAAAGGCCCTACATGACGTCACAAGGAAGCTTAGCCGTCCGGCTCTCAGCGGACGTCTGAATCAAGCCGTACGGTAAAACATGCTCTCAACGTGACGTAGAATTTACGGGATCTTGTTCGAACGTAACCCTGAATTCACAAGATCAATATTTGATCTGACTGGACGCTGACACCGCATGACGTTTTCAAAGGTCGACTTTGCGCACACCATTCTTTATGTTCTTTCTCAATCAGCACTGATAAATCATTAAACAAGATCTGATCTACACAGACAAGCCGTGAATTCGTCGCACCATAATGTTGAAACCCCTTCTAATCGATTTTCGCCTTGGTTACCTTTGAGAACGAGGTCATACTTCGTTAAACTGATATGGCCGGAGCTGGAACCTTCAGGGTTAGGTGAAGAAACGGCTCCAAAGCTGTTTAACCCAATTCTGTCTAACCCGATATCTTTAAAAATCTGTGGTGTATGTATGTGGGAGGGGAGCAGGGAGGGGGGGGGGGAGCCGCGTCAACTATTTGCCTGGCGAGACGATCGTGCCTGACTTGCGTTAGCATGCCTGTCATTGTCCATGCCAGGCTTTTCGGCTAGCTTGCATGCCCATTAGCTCCTCTGACGTTTACTGGCTGGTGCCTTGCGGTCGTACCTCGCACCGGTCTGCGGCCCCCGCGCTGCGACGGGATAACCGGCCAGCCCGCAGCCCACGCGCATGGACAAACGGCTGGCAGCGGGTGGTAGTTCGTTACCGCCGGCGCCGGCCGCTGGATGGGTCCCAAGACCGCGGCAAGGTCGGAGACCGGATGGCTCTCTGTTTACTCAGCGGCCCCGGCCGCATGACGCCGCCTTGCTGCCGGCCGTGGAGGCCCGCACAGAGAGGGGGCGGGCGTCTTGCGGGTCAGCAGAGGTGCGCACCGTGTGCTGACGGTGAACACGGGCACACATTGTAGTGAATGGCAAAGGAGTACTCTTTAAGACAGCGACAGTCAGGTTCGCCGTCTTATAAAAAGGTGTATTCACATAGTAGCCGCCGGGGCATGTGCCCCGACCCCTTTCCATTTTTATCAACATTTTTACATGAACGTGGCTGAATGTTGACAATTCGAAGTTACTGGTAAACACGTAAAAATAATATGATCGGTGACATGCGGTGATGTTTTATGACATGCATGAAATTACGCGCAGCTGTGATACGCCACACGCGGCTTTCACGAAAACTTATTGCGCTGAAACTTTTGTTGTGAAATCCTGCGTGCGCCCCGTCGACGTCTTAAGAACGTTTTTAAGACGCTTGAATTTTCAGATTTAGATGCTTGGTCATCCCTTCGAAGGTTTTCGAAGGTTTCCCGTCTGAGTTTTCGATACGTTTGTAACTCCTTCGGTCACCATTGACTATTTGAGAGCTGTGGGATGACGGAGAGGGGTACAAG